CCTTATAGTTCCAGCGCTAGCTTACGCTTGATATTTATATCTCTCCTCATGCAGATTAATGGCATAAAATGAAGGACAGATAGTGCTTTCTGCATAAGCTCAATGTTTAAAAAAAGTAGCATAAAAACACTCACATCAAAACAAAGCATGAAAGTGTGCTAATACAGCGCATAAAGCATCCTAAAAATGCATACTGTGCGTGACTCATCATCCTATACGTGTTATGCCCAGGTAGGACTTCTTCAGTAGGAAGGGAGCCACGCAAAAAAAACATTTATATACTATCTGAAATCTGTAATATTGCATACAGCTGTGTGTGTCAGAGAGGAAATGGCATCATGCAAGAAGACCTGCTTGAGCTCTATGGACAGCTGCAACCTAGGCAACTGTAAACAAATGTGACAGATGTGGTTTCACTACTGGACCTGACATGACGTAGCATCATAACAACCAAGCCCAACATCAATAGACCGGAACTGGCACGGCTCAGAAAGAAGATCTGCTGCCTACCGCCTCCATATCAACATGATTCCATGCATGTTAAACTAGAAGGGATGTATCCTAGAAGCAGAGCACTAGTTCTCCAAAACAGAGTACACAAACACAAGACATCCTGCATTGAGAACAACGCAAACACGGCAGTAACCAATGGTAAAAACCTACAGGATACCCACCAATGACCCCATACTTCAAAATAGCCTATCGCTAACTCTAATAAAATACTCATGCTACATATACAGTGCTTTTTTTTCTCACAAAAAAGGTGCAGGAACTCATCCGCCCCCTCCTCTTGGTCATGCCTCTTCATGCCTCCTACCCACCCCCCTAGGACCGCCCCTTGTCTCCACCCTACACGCCTAGTACCACCTGTCACGGATCCACGATCGCCGCCACCAACATGCGACAATCGCACAACCGCGACTAACAGTAATACATCACGCCCACGGCGTCAGACCCCAGACCTTCTCACCAAACTCGTGACCGAAGGACCGGCCGATCTAAAACCACGGTGTGACGCCCGTAACAAGGCCACACTCAGCTGCACCCAGCACAGCGATTGCCCAGCTAAAGGACTACAATCGGTGCCTGCAGCCTAAATGCGCTTGTTACTGGGTCTGGTTAATTACGCAACTAACCCTCTACTGCCACCACCACTTTTGTCGGAGACTGGGAAACTCCCGTTATCAAATATACACTATAATGATTGAAATATTGATCTATATAGCACGGCCCGCGGACCTGTTATACAGAGATATACCAAACAGTAGCGTCTCTTCAAAGGCAGGGATTCGTGAATTGCAAGTAAGCGCTTAGAAACAGTTTAACACTTTCAGAAAGAAAGATTTATTACTAAAAGAGTCAAAACAGGTGCAATACAATATTTACAAAGAGATGTCACAAAAATATATATATACTTATATGTGCATGAATATAGACACAGCAAAGAGTAATTAGGAAGAAGATTACAGGGTTAAGTTACTTGCCCATATGCCTGGGTTTGCAAAGTCCAGCTGCAGAGCAGGGGGATTTCTTGATCTCCTTTTGTTACGATGTTAGCTGCGAGATCTCCTACACTCTGGCTCTAGGCTTGTCTGCCTGTCTCTCTTAAAATCCCTCTCAAAGGGAGAGGGGGGGGGGGCTCTGACTATAGTTTTGGGAGTGGTCATTGGGAAACTCAGTTAAAACTAACAGCTTCATAATCCATGACATGAAACATACAGTTGACCTGAGGAATGTGCAATTACTCTGGTCAGTTTGATAATGTGTGGGCTTACGCCGTTTTGGGTCAATGCTTCCCAGCCCTCTGAGAAATGCTGCCTTATCAGACGTAGGTGAGAAAGGTGACAGCTTTCCCAGACCACTGGCACCACCAGGGATGTCTTACCCCGGTTGACCTACACCATCTTCAGGAGATAACGTTTGCCTCTCAGGACTGGAAAGGGGGGATGTGAGGAATAATCGAGGAATACCTCAAAAAACAGAACGGAACAAGACAAAGAAGAACTCCGCTTCCAGCTCTGATGAGCTAGTTTGTTACACCACCCCCTTTACAGAACAGGGAACCAAGTATAATTTTGGGGGCTATACAAGTAATTTTGTGGGATTTATTAATAAAAAACAATGGAATGGAATGTACAAAACATTAGAAATATCCAACACTTAACAAAGTAAGCTCAGAGGCACTTTCAGCCCATATCCAGCAAGTGACAGGTCCATATCAAGCAAAGAGACAATCCCTAATATCATGCAATGAGACAGTCCCATATCCAGTAAGGGACATCCCCAATATCCAGCAAAGAGATGCCCCATATCTAGCAAAAAGACAGGCTCATATCCAGCAAAAGACAGCCCAATTTCTAGCAAGCTACATCCATCATATCCAGCAAAGATGTCCAGCAAGAGACATCCCCAATATTCACACAGCCCCTATATCTATCCAGCAGCAACACTGACATTTAAACCATTACCAAAAGCAGTGTACTTAGTCTCATTAAGCAGTGAGCAGTCAGGAGTCTCAGGACAGGATAGGACATTACATAGCAGCTCTTCCTCACAGCTGCCACTGACACCAAAATAAGAACATCCAGTCTGCAACAGGGAGAGACGGAGTGCAGCTGATATCATTCCACCTTCCACTCTCTTAAAGCTGCAGCTGGAACTTTAGGAGCTGTGACGGCTTATGTGGCCGCCAGCTTACTCTGTGGGCCAGCTGCAGTATTAAACATATTGTAAAAGAATAGTTCTGCTCCTTGGTGGAGGTGTTGGAATGCCGTTCTGGCAGAAAAAAAAGCCCCGTACATATATATATATAGCAATTCTCAGCCAGATAAGGCCAAAATGATATAGATTTATAAAACTAATAAATAAAAAAATGATGTATTGCAAATCACTGATAAAACAATTTATGTCAAAATCAATATTTAAACCTAATGGTACCAGTGTTTTCAATTCATAGATTCAATACGATTCCCTACCCTCCAGTGCCTGTCAACCTTCTCTATACCCCAAAATTTAAATCCGCTAGGGTCTCTATTGTGACACAACCTAAAGTGCTTAGAAAATGTATGTTTTTTATGTTCCCTAATTCTTACTGAAAGCTGCCTGGATGTGCGCCCCACATTCCGTTTCCTGCAGGGACATTCCAGCATGTAAACTACACCCTTGTTGCGCATGTCATGAAATCTTTCAAAATATACTTCTTTTTTGTGCTCACAGCTATAAAATCCTTATTATTTTTGCTATTCACCTTTTGCAAGCTTTGCATTTACCACAAGAATAGAAACCTGACAACAGGGGAAACAAGTTATCAGTTCTCTTCTTCACAGGGGGATCAAGCACTCCCAGGGGCTAATTATTTACAAAGAGTGGGCGCTTTCCTACATAAAACCTGTGGACAAGCTGGTAACACTGGGTCTAATATACTATCTTTTAATAACATGCCCCAATATTTGATAATAATTCTTTCCATCTGTTTGTGCTGTACATTATAGTCTAGAACTATTCTAATATCATTGCCAGTCATCACACCTCCCAGTATCTCAGACCTATCTTTAATCAGCAGGCTCCTATCTATTTCCATTACCTTTTTAATTTCCTGTTCAATCTGTTTTTTATATCCTCTCTATGCATCAGCCTCAGGCTTCCTCTTTCAGCAAAGATCTTCCCTAGGCAGCAGCCTAAGGAAGTTACATTGTATAAATATTCATAATTCAATACTATTGTATCTTCTTGCTCTATCTGCTAGAAACACATCCCACAACAGGTAGAAGTAACAATATAGTCTATGCTTAGGGAAACCCAACATAAGTTTAAACAATAGCAAATCAAGTAAAGGCTGACTACATACAGCCTAGCTGCAACACTAAAATTAGGCTAGGGACATTCCTGCTTAGGGGAGGTTCCCCATATACATATTTCCCTGGCCCAGCTTCCTAATAGTGACAACAGTAAACCATGCCAACGCAATATTTTTTGGCATGGTTGCCTGTAGTCTCCGTCAGTGGCACATGTGTCAGGGTGACTTCACAGCAGTACAATAGAGAGACAGATGACATCCTATAACAAGAATTGCCTAAACAACAATCTTCATGGTGGAATCACCAAATATTCTTTAAGGGTGGGTTCACATCAGGATAGCATGGGAATGCATGCTTTCCCATACACTGTGTTTTGACAGCCCATTCATTTGAATAGGCGGCAAAACACACCAGACCGTGCAAAAAGTACTGCTTCCACTACTTTTACATTCACACTGCACCAAATTTCCTCGTAGTGTGATACCATGCAATTTGATGCCTGCAAACTCACTGTATTTGCAATCTGCCTTTGGGATGAGATTAACAATACATTGGCATGCATGCAGATAACAAGGGCAGTGCGTTTGAACATGGTGAAAAAAACAAGCATGGAATGCTCTTTTCCCAACTGCTCTGTGCAGTGGTATTGCACAGAGTGGCCCAGATTCTCCTCTTCTTGGGTCCCCCCACTGGCGATCTAGGCCCCTCCTCAGTGTTTCTCCATAGTAAGCCACACAGTGTCTGCTCACTCTCTCCAGCTGTGTGTTTCTGGAACCCCGTCCCCCACTTCCTCCTCACTGCATTTGATTGACAGCAGCAGGAGCCTATGGCTCTTGCTGCTTAGTGTGTAGAGGAAGAAAGTGGAGAAGAGATGCAGCCATGCACAGTGCTGGATATATTCCTCCTTCTCTTCCCCTTCACACAGGGAAGGGGGGGGGCAGAGAAATAGAAAATGTTTTTTTACCTTAACCTCTTCCTGTCCGCCCATTCTACATAGACGGTGGATGGGAAGCAGCGCCGATGCAGGCTAACAGTCCATCAGCCAGCATCGAGAATTCATGCACGGCTCACAGAGCATGCACCCCAGAGCCCGGTGATCAATGTGTCAACCGGACACAGCGGATCACATTACCACTGTGTTTGGGTGATCACGTGGTGTTTTCCCATGTGATTGCTGTTCCCAGTCACCATATTAGTGTCCTGATCACTGCCATAGGCCAAACCAACACCCTGATCACTGCCATATGCCATAACAGCACCCTGATCACCTCCATACAGCATACCAGTGCCCTGATCACCATCATACCCCATAAAGCATCCTGATCACCACCATACCACATACCAGCATCCTGATCACCGCCATACCAGCATCCTGATCATCGCCATGCCCCATACCACCATCCTGATCACCCCATATGCCATACCAGCGTCCTGATCACTGCCATACCCCACACCAGCATCCTGATCACTGCTATACCCAATACCATCACCTTGATCACCACCATACCCCATACCAGCATTCTGATGACTGCCATACCCCATACCAGTGCTCTGATCACCACCATACCCTATACCAGCATCCTGATCACAGCCATACCCCATACCAGCATCCTGATCACCCCCATACTGCATAACAGCATCCTGGCTACTGCCATACTAGCATCCTGATAACCACCATACCTCATGCTAATGTCCTGATCACTGCCATACCCCACACCAGCATCCTGATCACCCCCATACTGCATAACAGAATCCTGGCTACTGCCATACCAGCGTCCTGATCACCGCTATACCTCATGCTAATGTCCTGATCACTGCCATACCAGCACCCTGATCACTGTCATGTGCCATACCAGTGTCCAGCATTTTAGGATCTCAGCTGATCAGTTTTCAAATATATATCCCATAGTTTGTAGAATCTATAAATTTCACACAGACTAAATAATATAAACTGTTTTTGGGTTATTTTTTATCCTACCAATGTAGTAGAATACATTTTGGCCTAAATTTATAAAGGACAAATTATATATTTGCAAAATTTTAGAGCAAAAACTAAGCAAAAAAAAGAGGGTTTTTTTTAATTTTCTGTATTTTTTCATTTATATAGCAAAAAATAAAATAACCCGGTGGTGATCAGATACCACCAAAGCTCCATCTGTCTCAAAAAATGAGAAAAATTTCATATGGGTACAGTGTTGAATGACTGAGTAATTGTCATTTAAAGTGTGATAGTGCTGAAAGCTAAAAATTGGCCTGGACTGGAAGGGGGTGAAAGTGTCCAGACTTTTAACCACTCCAGAAGTGGTTAATGCAGGGAATGCATTAAGGTAAAAAAGTGTTTTTAGTTTTAGTATCACTTTAATGAAAGCTTTATAGTTAAAACATGATTTAAAAACAAGTCTTGAAATTACATTATCATGATAAAGAGTATATGAGATTTCAGTGATTGGGTTTACATATACCTTAAATTGTATGTATAGCCAAACTGTTTTATCCCACTGGGGAGCTTTCTCTTACTTTCTGTCAAAGAGATGCAAGGGATAGCAAAAAGGAAATCTTTACAGGGAAGGCAATTTTCTGAGTTGTCACCAGAACAGAGGCAAGAACAGCAAAATCTTGGATTCCTCATTAGTTTCTGTCTCAGTTTTAGTGATAATCAAAGAGGTTGAATTTACCTATTGGGGACAAAAACAGCCATACAAACTTTTCAGAGGTTCTAGTTTGTCCCTGCTCAGTTCAAAAACTAAAGAAAAAAGTATGGTATAATTACAACAATTGTAATTATCTCTCAACCGCAGTTTTATTTTCTTCTATTAAACATTTTAGAGAATAAACCACTAAGATGCAAAGTTGCACGATAATTATAAAAAAAGTACTATTGCACAGTTAGCCAAACATCCAGAGCAAACTCCAGACATTCCTTTTGCAAATGTTGTTAACGCCACAAGAGGTCAGTACAGTAAACTCAAAAAAGATAAATCAGCTGCAATGTAAAATGAAAATAGGATTTCCACGTCTGCTAGCAGGTGCAGACTGGGGTTAAATTCCAATGCCAGCAGAATGTCTAGCAGAAAAAAAAAAAAAAAACGAGAAAACAGCTAGTAATAGTTTTTTTTTTTACTTTAACCACTTCCAGTTCAGACATTTTCACACCTTTCCTGTCCAGGCCAATTTTCAGCTTTCAGCGCTATCACACTTTGAATGACAATTGCGCGGTCATGCAACACTGTACACATATGAATTTTTTTAACATTTTGTTGAGACAGATAAAGATTTATTTTGGTGGTATTTATTCACCTCTGGGATTTTTTATTTTTTTTTGCTATATAAATGAAAAAAGTCCAAAAAATTTAGAAAAAGTGTTTTTCTTATAAAATTTTGCAAATAAATAATATTACATCATAAATCTTGGCCAAAATTTATTCAGTTATCTTTTTATTAAAAAAAAAATAACCCAAATTAGTTTATAACCAAAAATTATCATTTTTAAAAAAGTTTTTTACATTTTTATTTAATTTTTTTATATTATTAGTTAAGTTTTTGTTTTTTTTTTCTACATACTGTCACCCTAGCAGTACAGTGTCACCATGGCGACACTGTACTACTTGTGGGGGGTGATGAAGATTTTTTTTTTACACTGATTGCTTTTACACCCATATAGGCTGTAAAAGTAATAATTTCTCCTTCTCTTTGGCTGCATTCTTGCAGCCATTGAGAACTACTGTGTGAGCTGTGATTGGTCACAGCTTGTCACATGGTACAAGGCTGTTGTGAATAGCCGTGTAACATGTGATCTCTGTGATCATTCACAGATTTCACTAGTAGTAAGCAATGATGTCAGAAGTGACATTTTGCTTACTACTCTGCATGTGATCACTGATTGGCCAAGAGGTCCGTACGATGTTCGGTGTTCCACTGGGTCTGGAGGACACAGCGGGCACTGGATCGCGGTGCTGCGTGCTCCCAGGGAGCACGCACAGTCCATAATGGCGGGCACCATTTATAAACGGCAACCCGCCCCTGCACTGCCTCCGTCCGGCTGTTTATATACAGCGGCTGGATGGCAAGTGGTTAAAGGATAAGTTCACCTTTAAAAAAAAAAATGCACATTTTTTTACCAGAAAAAAAAGTGCATTTATTATTTTTTACTACAGAGCCTGCAGAGCATTGCACCTACAGTCAGCAGATCATTGGTGCAAACTGCAGGCTCTCAACATAGATATCTGCCCGTACCTCATAGGCAGTTCACTGAGAGCAGGAAGAATCAATGAACTACTAGAGCATTCACCAGACCCCTCACAGTTCATTGAGAACTACAAGTCGTCAGCCGCAACGGATGATGGTACTTGTACGCATTCATTTACAGGAAACTGTGAATGAATGATGCAGCCAGGTGGTGGAGCCCCATATGACTGCGTTTATTTTCAAATTGTGATAGCGGATGCGGGGAGAAGATCCCCTGCCTGCTGACTGTGGGATGTAATTAATTCAATTTTAAAAACTTTGCGACTTTAGAACCACTTTAAATTGGAATTCTGGGATCAGTCTAACTAATCATCAAACTGTCCCTACACCTATCCTAAATACCCTGCAGAAGAAACATGCATATGCACACCTATTTCCAAGCTACTCTGGGCCAGTCATATGATTGACTCACCTATGTCATCTAGCAGCGGCTTCAGCGCCAACAATGGATTGTCCTGTAGCCGGTGCTGTCTGACACAGTGGGGGCATCATGTGACCAGATCAGAGCAGCCTGAAAATAGGTATTTATATGCATCTTTCGTCAATAGGGTAGTTAGTATAGGTGATAGAAAGGGGGTGGGAGCAGTTTTAAGATTAGTTAGATTGATCTCAGAATTCTGCTATTGTCGTGTTCAGATATTGTCAAAATTTTATAAATAATTAGTTCTAATAATGGATGGTTAAAAATGCCCTTTAGTCACAGAACAACAAGCCAAACCAGTGATGGTCAACTTAAAAATTGTTATGGGCCCCAAATACGGTCCCCGTCACTTCTGGAGGGCCACACAATAGCAGGCACTTTCACACCCCAATGCTCAAAAACGTTGCACCTACTTCATTGTTTGCTGCATATTGCAATGCACACTGAAGAAGTTCAGATACAATAACTCCCAGCACTGGTATCCAGAGGAAAGTAAACCTCTCCATTCCCCTTTTGTGCATTGGTGATCATGACAGTGAAAGTTAACCCCCCATCCCCTGCATTGTCAGTTATGGCAGTGAGTGTTACTCCCCCCCTGTCACATTGCTGGTCATAGCAGTGAAAGTGTTAACCTTTCTAATCCTCCTATTTGTGCTAATGGTCGTGGCAGTGAAAGTGTTAACCCCCCATTCCCCATATTGGTGGTCATGGTCATGGTAATAAAAGTGTTAACTCTCTCAATCCTCTCCCCCTCATTTAACATTTACCTGATCACGCTCTCCCATGCCCCTCTTTCTCCCAGTCTTGAACTTTATGGCTGACACCAGTGTTAAAGTGTTAACACCCCCCCCCATCCCCCCTATTGTTGGTCATGGCAGTGAAAGTATGGCTGACACCATACATGGCCGCCTCCTAGTTAGTGAACAAAGAAAGAATTTCAAAATGCATCTGGAGTATCCCACATCCATACTCTGCTGAATGACAAATTGAGTGTTGGGTGTGAAGAAATGCAGTTGTAAGACTAACGCTCTTTTCACCAACCTGTGACAAAAGTCTGGTCAACCTCACACTGCGCTGTCACTTACGCAACAATGCCACTCTCAGCTCCACACTGCACAAAGATTTTCCAGCTTGTGGGACCACAATCTAGGTGCCAACACACTGAGAGCAATTGTTACTGGGTTTAGTTAATTAAGCAATGAACTCTTTGAACTGTCACCACCGACTTTTACCAAAGAGTAGGAGACTTTCACAAGATTAGCAATAATAATTATAAAAAATTAATGTCTGTACACACACTGTCACCACAGACAGGAATATTCAGAGGGTTATGCTACAGTATCGCTGTAGAGACAGGGATTCTTTGAGTTTGTAAAGCACATTTAAAGACAGTTTTAACACTTTTTAAAATATAGTTTAATTATGAAAAGGCAAAAATGGTGCAAATAAAATATTTAAAAAAAAAAAGATATTAGAAAGCAACAGAAAGATAAAGGGCTGAAAAATGGAGAATACTTGTTCCTGGTTTTAGCAGAGTTCAATCAATCAAGCAAGACAGTAATTGGCTCTCATATGACTTGACAGTTGTTCCTTGGTTTGATGTTAAACAAGAGCTGTCAAAATGTGGTTGAATTCCACTTTTCTTCACATCAAGGGGGTGTTGACAGACCAATCATCCGTTCTAAGGGGTGGCTGCTGGAATGTCACCATGTTTATGATCAAGTCCCAGATACAGTTTTCTAAAAGTATTCATATCTCTGAATACCTGCTGTTTACAGACTGATAACATGCATATTGTTGTCCAGCGTGAAATTAGCTTCAGGATTAATGTAAGTATGACAAGGTTCAGATGTCCAGTTCGCCTATGAGAGGAATTGGGCCAGTTCTGTTCCTGGTACTCCTAGGTTAATGATGTTTGGGCTCAAAACGCTACAAAATTAACTGAGGGAGGTAAATACTGTATGTCTATATTCTGATTGTGCTGCTATTATTTCATTAGTTATGAAATATACTGAGGTTTTAGAGTCTTGGCTGATAAGCAGTCTTTCAGAAATATGTATTGGCCATTTCCCTAGCTGAGCTATTTACTACTGGGTATCTGTTAAAACTCTGGTTACTCAAGCTTGCGGAGTCTGATATTTTTATTGGGGTTTCTAGACTGAAGTGTGCATTCAGGCTAATAGGTGTGAGAGGATCT